ACTACAAGAAGAAATAACAGTTCGAAGTACTTTTAAGTCTTAGTTCTTTGGATTAAGTCTTGTCAAGGCATTTTAAGAGGAAAAAATTGCATATTAGCCTCCATAAAATATCGCAATAAATATCATACCGTGAGATGTATATCATGAAAATATTGTACTGAGAGGATTTAGATAGTGTTACATCCCTAATCGTGAGCCTCCCCACCATATCATAAGCTTTCACATGATATTGCAATAAATATCGTACTGTGAAGTTCATACTGTGACAATCTCGTATCGTGAGACTTGAATATCGTTACACTCCTACTTGATCCATCCATAAATGCTGCATTGGTATCAAAACAACCCTTGTTTGACTAATTTGCCTTGCTTGATGTTAAATGTAACCTTACTTGACTATTTCTTTGGACTAACACATAATAAATACAACAGATGTCATATTATCTGTTTCTATACAGTTTGAGAGTAAACTACAATAACAATAGCACTCTACTTATTTCAGCCCAAAGCTATACTGTTCATACATATGGAAATTATTCTCTGTTGTAAAGTGAAACTAAATCTGCTTCTTTCTGCTTCTATGCTGTTTTATTTGTGATATCTACTGTTCCTAGTCATTTTTTTGGCAGCTTTAATGTAAACTGGGTAAATTTGCAGCTTTCTGATTGGTCAAAAACACCTAAATCTGAGTTCGTGCTGATATTTGGGCTCTGCAATTTCAAGTAGTTAGTGACATCACACAAGACTGCCCTGATTACAGCCAGATGTGTCTGACTACAAACACCAGGCTGCAGGGGCGGAGTTTGGAGTTTGAAGTGTGGATACCTATAAGACCAATCACGCTCTTCCTTATACAGTACCTCCAGACCCCACCCCTCATCCTTTCTCACACTCTTCTTCAGTCCTCCAGACACTGCCCAGTTTAATAGCCCTATTTAAAGAAAATTTAACATGACGCTTTAGGGACCTCTTGAAACTACAAGGACATACATTATTATAACATTAAGCAGCAACAGTTAACTCGCCCTTAGCTGTGACACATACTTGGCCCATATCACTCAATCCAAACAACTTCAATAAATCACGTTTATTGCATATCATCGGGTCGAACTAACCATTGGGAAATTCTACTGGCAGAGCGCCATTGTAACATCAACAATAGGCGACTTTGATAAGACTTTTTGGCCCGAGAATTCAGGAGTTGTCAAAACATTTACTTGCATTGCTGGACTATTTCATATGTATATCATTTAATTCATTTAGGAGCCTATGTCAATTGAAAGATACAGTGCAGATAGTTTGAGCAAGCACATGCGGTACCCTGATACGCAGAGATAGACTGGAAGGTTAAGGAGTGAAAAATGCCATGCCTGTAACAGACGGAGTTTATGACCCAGGTGCAATTGACATGTGAAGAACAAGTCAGAAAGTCAGAGGTCATAAAGTGCACATAGTACTTCTGAGGGGTGGCCAGTAAAAATCACTATTTTCTTACTGTCTGCTATATCAGTTTTGACTTTCTTATTCATATAAACCTTTCATGTAAACTTCATATCATTGTAATGCATGAGAAATCATACTAAGGTGCAGAATTGTTGACTTAACTTAATCAACTTAATGAGCTTAATGATTGAGTAGCTATAAAGCGTGCCTTGACCTTAACCTTAAAGTGGTACTAAACACTAAATCCAAATTTTTTGCTACTGAAATGAGTATATTTTCTACAATTCTACTGCAAACTAGGCAAGTCTACAGCTTTCTAGTCATGCCTAAATATAATGACCGGTTTACACGAAAACGCCTGCAGGTAAAAACAACAAAATATTTTATTGGAAATGCCTTTTGTTTAGACGCTAACGGCATTTTTGGGGGCTTAAAAACGCAAAAATCTGAAACCACCCTCCAGAGTGGAAAAGTTGAATACAAGATGCAAAACTCTGGTCAGAACTGTTCATGTTGCGTACACATTTACATCACATACATACAAATCAAATTCCACACACTTTTGCGTCACTGTATGCACGCAGATTTCCTCCCAAAAACACTCGTCTAAAGGCAGAATAAAAAGTGAAGACGTGAAGTGCATCTTCTGTTCAGACCGTCATCATATAAACGTAGTCTAAATGTGTGCTGTTTTCAGAGGCCACTGCAATTTCAAGTAGTCAGTGAAATCAGAAAAGGATCTTCTTTACTCCTTTAGATGCTGCCTAGTTTAGCAGCTCTGAAATGTGGTTTTGGGATGTTTATGTGGTTAGTCCCACTTTAAGTCATCTGAAGCTCATGAGACTTCACACTTCTCTCTGATTGGTTAGAGTCATTGTGCCTCACTCTCACTCACTCACAGCTGGATTATATAGAAAATGTCTAATCAACACATTTTTCACAGGAATCAAATCACAATTCATTTGCCCTTCAAAGCCTATACCCCTAAAGTGAAATAGTTTGAAACTTCATGGTCATGTGTATGCTAAATTGACATCTGACTGAGCTTTCTTTACTATAATTGTCAAAATGATGTTTATATATAAGTTATGTATATGGTTGGTTGCCTGGGAACTCTTAAGACCACACACTTTTACGATACTTTACAAAGACGTATAATCTGAAACTGTCCAATGTGCATGAATTTTGATTGGCGTCAAGTTTGTTTTGACACAAACGGACCATGCATTTCCACGCTTGTCAATCACACATATTAGCTCTCTCATAGCTCTCTCTACGATAAGATTTGATCTCAAGGCATTCACTTGTACTAAAACTGTGTGCCTCTTTTGGTAGTTTGGCAGACATTTACTTATCATAACAATATCTTAAAGCGAACCAATCATGCAAAATCGACTTTTTAGAGCTTTAAACCATGTTACAGTTGTTCTTCTTTCTCGTTTACCCTCTCAAAGTTGTATTTGGGGTGATTCATGCGTGTTTGAGTAATGTTTATACTCCTGTATTTAGGAAATTATTGCTCCAATCAACAGCGCACAATATGTCTTCTTTAAGAGGAACAATAAAATACTTTATCCGTGACTAATAATATACACAATTGTTTAAACAGAGAGATCCAGGTCCTTGGAGTAAGTCATTATCCTGCTTGTAAAACCGCCCCGACTATAATCACTCTGTTCTGGGAAGCTACAACCAATCAACAGACATAGGATTTATGCTCTGTCCCATAGTCTGTATTGGGAAAAGCAGTGGGGGGTGGTAGAATCAGGATACAGGGGTAATTATGTCTCCTGAATACTGTCTAACGCTGTGCCAAAGTACCCCATAAACGCGCTGACAAAGCTGGCCTCGGTCTGGTGGGGTGTCCTGGGTGTACAATGTTGACTTACCATCAAAATGCCACAGGTGATTAGCTCGGCTGTTGACTGCTAAAACACTCCTATAGAGAACCATAAAATTACTGCAAGCTTTTACAATACCAGCCAGATTATAAATACATTTACTCCCTCCCTCCCTGAGTAGCAAAGATATGGTGCTATACTAGGCTCAAATTAGTCAAATTTACTAGCCCATGTGCCAGAGAAACTAGGATTTACGACGACGTTTAAGAGACGAATGTAAAATGCTATTGGTTTAATGGGCAAGTCTATAATTATGGGTTTCTTTACGTAGAGGCCTGTGATCATTAGTATAGGATTGTTGGGAGATCACATTTCCATTTAACTAAGGGGTCACCTGGCGCAGTAGCTTTTGTGAAAGTCTAGTCTATTTAAGCTGAGACTGTGAGGGAACAATAATATTTGAACGGCTACCTTAAAAGTGATATATTGTGCAAGGTTTTATAGTTGTTTGAAGTTGTACTGAGACTGATTAATGTACTGCATGTCTGAGCAATCCTTATCATCTTCAATTAAAGAGCGAGTATTCTGATAAATAAACTTTGTAGAGCTTTCTATCATGTTTTAGCATTTTTTCCTAATCAGAAACATGCCTTTAGAAGTTTATATGTCAACCACGCATGTACGATTTTGTCCAATGCTCAGCTCACAAGCCTGCGTCTCCTATAGTGTTCATCTCCAGTCAAATGAAGCTCAGCGAGACTTGCAGTTACAGGGGTAAATTTGGAGCCGGGTTCCATATTAGGAATAGGAACTGATTTACAGACAAAATAGAAAAAAGGAAAACCACAGGATCATGTAGAGCAGGTTAACTCAAAAATTTTAAGACCAAAAATGATGAGTCTGACAGCAGAAATTAGAGAGAGAGGGACAACATTTTTTTGATACAAAGTGAATTGGAGATGGAGTCGATGGTGCCCATGCTCACTTCCTATTGCTATTTGGAACATGGCGGCTAGTGGGCCAGCTATGTCCATTTATATTTTTGAGAGTCGATGGCTCCCACACAACAATTTTTTATTAACAATGAGACTGTTTTCTGTAAAAAAAAAACAATAAAAGGCAGCAATGTGATCTAAATATGTAATGTGTCAGCAGTTAATACCCTGTAGAAGAGTAATACCCCCTCTTTAAACTGTACAGCAGACAATGTATGCAGAAAATAAATCAGTTGTCATGAAATACAGGAGTTTATAGGTTTATAGCACATTCAAATTTAGTCTAACACTTTGTCAAACTTGATAAAATATATAATATATTGTAAGTATAAGGTTAATTACTGAATAAAAACAGGTATTGAGGAGTTCTTTCACATTTCACAGTGCATTGGAATAACCAAAATTAGGTCACATGTCTGAAGGAAAGGACATATGGTTTAAAGAGAAAATATGTCAAAGGCTATAGAGTTCAGAGTTACTATTTTTTAGGTAATTAATACAAGGTAACTAGAGCAGCAGCTGTGCTATACTACTCAAAACAAATAAGAGTAAACCCTATACTAACTCTGTATGAACAGTGTCTGGAAGGGAATCAAGTGTATGTACTGTAACTACACTTAGTCGTTTTGAAGATCCACACACAAAAAGAGAAAATAATACGGAGATTCTTCTGTCATGACATTTGATACTGACCCAGTTTTGTCTCGGTTTTGTCTCACAGCTGAACCCGTGGATGTCTTGAAGGTGCTAGATTTCCAGAGCTCTCCCGATGGGGTACAGAAAACACCAGGATTCTGCAGAATGAGGAGAGGAGCCAAACCAGACATCGCGTACAGAGTGAGCAAACAGGCACAGATCAGCGCTCCCACCAACCAACTCTTCCCAGGTAATGTTATACTTCAAATCACAGTATAAAGTCATTAGATATTCATTAACCTCTTAGAATAATTGCCTATAAACTGCCTAGGTCAATATATTTATTCTATTATTAACGAGGCTGCATTTTGTAACTGTAACTGAATTGTATATATTAATTGAGTGTCTGAAACCTGTTTTTCTTCATGGAGATGTTATTGCTTTGTCTGAAATGTTTCACAATATGGCATTAAAACTTTATCATCATGGAGACCAAACCGGGCCAAGTTACTGGTCAGATCTGCAGAGAGGCAACAATGCTCACAGTCAGAATGCCTTTTGTTTTGTTTTTCTGGGTATTTTTAAGCAATAAAACCACCTGTAATTCAATAAGAATGTAAGGTAGATCTGTTTAATGCTATATTGTGGAACATTTGAAGTAGAGTGATGGCATATCCAAAGAAACAAGAAGGTGACGGACCCCCAAAAGAAAAGTTACATAGTGCACCTAAACACAACAAGCTTAATTTCAAATAAAAGTAAAATTTAACCAATAAACAAAATTGCTTGACTCCCCTGACACATCTGCTTCTCTCATTGTGACTGACTACAGTATTTTGCAGTCCCGTTTACTGGGTCAAATTCCTACTTGGTTATTTTGGAAAGTTTAAATCCACTTTTTTTTAGGATACAGTGAAAGTTAGAGGAGCTGTCTTCTAGTTGCTCTAGTCTAGTCTTAAAAGTCATACCTGGCACAACTTACAAGCCTTCTAATAAACAGCCAGCCTTTTTGTAGCTTGTAAAGACACAATGGGGACAGCTCCGTATGGCATTTCTATTGGCCAGTGTCCTTGCCAACACATGGTCCATCCTTAGAAACCCAAAAAGAAAACAAAAAAGTACAATAATAAAACAGGGGACATGTTTATAGCATACATCATAAATTCACATAGACAGCTGCATATGGGAAAGTTGAACAGTGCAGTGGTATTTGTACGGGAGCAGCAAGGTTGTTGGTTCAAGCCCAGCCTAAAAGCACATAGTGTTGTTGTGTCCCTTGGCAAGACATAATGGGTAGGGCATGTGTAAAAATCTGCCAAATCGCCATGCAATCGTGAGAAATAGTGCAAGAAAAAGAGAGCAGTCAAATGACAAATACAAAATATACACATTACATCATGTTTTTAAGTTTCCAACCCATGTATGGATAAACTTATTTATTCAAATTACTCTATTTTTGTCTAATTATATTAAAATAACTATATGTTAGTAGTATAAGTTAAAATACTAAGTAAAAGACTTGATGCTCAAAAATGATTCCGATATCACGAAGAAAGATTTTCAACATTAAATCTTCGTAATTTCTTTTATTTTATCATGTGGCCTTCTATCTGTGTAATCCCTCAGCCATCCAGGTAGTCGTCCATGGGCATATATTCATCTATGTACTTATACTTGTTCTGATACAGCTCAAGAGCATTCTAAAGTTCAAGAAAGGTTCGCTTCTCTATTGTGAATGTGATTTTTTTTAGTATCGATACCTCCTGAAATGAGTATCCAGTTTCGATACTAGTTTTAGTACTGATAAGTGTCTGATTTTCCATACTTCTAACAACCCTATCTTGTAGTCAATTACTGTATTACTGTAATTCACCCATCACCATTTACCATCCCATTTACCATGTCTCTTTAGGCATGGCACATGATTCCCAACAACAGTGAAAGTCCTTGTAATTTACGATGTTGAAGAATTGGTGAAACATGTGTTATTCTCCTTGCCTCACATCTTAAATGCATTATCACATGTCATTTAAGTGGAAGGGCCACCCAAGGCATAGCCCTCAAAGCAGCAAATAAAAACAACCCAATCAGACTAGAATTACAGTCATTATGTCTTTGTTTTGAACCGCGCACCACTAAACAAAAACATATCTCATATAAATGTTATTTCATGTGATACTAATTTATGCACCTGTCTTTGAGATCATCTTGAATTATTGAGTGACTTTACTAGAGGGCTTAAGCAGACTGGATGAACTCAGCAGATGTTTTAAATGGAGTACTGAGTAGGGTTGTCAAAAGTATTGAAAATCAGATACTAATCGATTTTGAAACTAGTATCGAAACTAAATAGTAACACTTTGAACAAGTATTGATACTAAAAAATTCACTTTTACAGGACAGAATTAAACTTTTCCTGAATAGCTTTAGAAAGATTTTGAGCTGTATCAAATCTAGTATAAGATCACAGAGACAAATATCCGTCCATGGGCCACTATGGAACCTACCTGGACCACTGAGGGATTACACAGATATAAGACCACGTGGTAATATAAGACTTTTTATCATTGTGGTATTGGAATTGGTATTGAGGATCAAGTTGTTACAGCTATGACCACAATAGAGAAAGGTGCAGACACAACTACGGCAAAGGTTTAAGCCAGGGGTGTCCAAACTTTTTTCATCAAGTTCCACATATCTAAACACAGACGAAGCAGAGGGCTGATCGAGGGCTGTAGACTGATGCTCAGTACAGTGAATAATTGAAATATGTGCATGTTTAACACGTTAGAATGAGCCATCAGTCTTTATTCATGCTGAGATCCTTAAAAGTACACATTAAATATTAAATATCGGCTTTATCAAGGTAGATTTTCAAAAAACTTGCAACAAAAAGTAAATTTTTCATTGATGCAAGGTAATTTGGGCCAATTCTCCTGGAAGCCCGAGGGCCAAGAAAAATTTGTCTGAGGGCTGCATTTGGCCCTCGGGCCATAGTTTGGACATGCCTGGTTTAAGCTCTCTGCTCAAGCATTTATTAATAAGTTACAATGAATATGTGAAAATAGGGCTAAAGTGTGTTGTGGCAATTGGCTGACAGCGTGGCCAGCTGGAGTCGAGCCAGAGGAGCAGCCCTAGGCATAGTGGGCGGGTCCTTTTTATAGGCGGCTGGATGCTCTGGGCCCTAATGCATCTGTGTCACCTCAAAATAGAACAATTCTTAATACAAACACACCACAACAGGGGCCGTGACACAAGTCTATTCCTCAGTATCAAAATCAAGTTTGAAATGTTAGCATTGTCACTAGTTTTAAGTATATACTGTTTCATATGTGTGAGGTCATGGTTGGACATAACATACTGCAAATTACTGTAGGTTTACCTCATTGTTGACAGCTACATCAAAACTTCTTGGCATCCTGTATTTCATATGTGTATAGTTTATTAAATGCACTAACTCTGCTTTACCTAAAAAAAGCATAATGCTATCAAAACAAATGTAGACTGAGATTGTGGTGATGTAGAATTGTAAAAGTTGAAAATTTACTCATCTCTTTCTCTGTCTGCATTTGGTTTGGTGTGTACAGTAGATATGTCCTCACCCCTGAAAAATACAGGTTTCATTCAGAGGCCCAGTCATTAGTTACGCTATAGCTGTGGAAAAAACATAACTTATATGATGAGTCTCTTATTTATTCACTTCTGAAGTGAGCTCATCTTTTCCAGACTGTTATTGAGACATGAAAGGTGCGCTATGTCGCTTTTCGCCTGCTTGTCTTCATGAGGATGTATTTGTGTTGCTCTAAGAATTTAGTTATTCCAGGTATTTTTAGAGCTCAAAGATCCTTAAAAAACAGGAAATTATTCCACAGATCTGACCAATAACTTAACCAGTTGATGTCATGTGTCCTCATGGAAAGGTTTAATACTGCACTGTGGAACATTATAGATTTGTTGAGTGATAATGTCACTTCAAGGTCCAAATGGCAACTTCACAGCTGTTCTAGCTTTGTTTTTTTCATAATGTCACAATCTCAGAAGTGATATCACAGAGCAAAGCAGTAACATCTCCATGGAGACAAGCAGGTGATGGGCCTTTCACCAGAAAAGTTACATAGTGCACATTTAAATGCATTATTGTAGGCTATCATGATAATAATGCACTATATAGAATTAGGCCTACTATTATACAGTTTTAGGTCATATAAAAATTTGATTCAGCTAAGTAGCAGCAGTTTGTAAGGAACAGCTCATATTTTATTTGATAGGCTTTAGTAATTTCACAGTGACCTCAAATGTGGTTTAGCTGAAGTTGTTATATTTACAGCTCTTGTAAAATAAACGTGCTGCATCACAGTAATTTGAGCACTTTTAGTCAGGTCCAAAAACACCTTTAGTTTCCTCTATAAACACAGTTCCAGTTGTCTAGACATGCGGGTGTATATGCTAGACCAGAGTAGCCCAAACAGTCTGCCAGCACAATTACATCCATAATGGCCTCTGTAAAGCATCAATTAGAAAACTGAGTGAAAAATGAGCTGTTTTAAAGTGTACTTACTTTAAAGGATCAAGGATGGAGCGTTTATGTGCTTATTTTGAGGTAAGATTGGTTGATGCGGATTACTAAGGTAAAAGGCTAATGCTATAACCTCATGTGGTTTGGATGTAGACTCACTGAAATGCGTTATGGTCTCACTATTCAGCTTTTCAACTTTTGGGCTATTTGCAATTAGTGTTTTTATTTTTTTATTCCGATCCAATACCAATACCAGTCCGATAACACAGTGTGAAGAAGTAGACTGAGGCTACTCAATTTTGTTACAGTACAAGAGCAAAAAATAAAAGGGTATCTCTAAAGAAAATCCACAAGAATAAATTCTAGTTTTAATAATAGGTTTTTGAGAACTAAGTGTTAGAGTCAAATATAAAATTTTCTTGATGATAACTTGTGCTGATTTAAGCATATTTACTTTTCTACTTTGTCACTTTCTACCACAGTGCATGGTTAGAGTGACCAGACATCCCTATTTACCCGAAACAGTCACAGTTTTGAGCCCTATGTCTCCTGTCCCGCTGGTTTCAGACAAAAACCACAGAATTGTTCCAGTTTTATACAAGAAATGTACCAGATTTTTGACCAATTTGATAAATGCCAACAGTAAAGAGAGGCATAAATTGTCACTTGTTTAGGTAAAATACAGAAAAGCTGCTTAAAACGACCAAAACACAAAGAAAATATGACTATACTGACTCACATGTTATTCATGAATGGGCTGAGTGCAGAACAATTTTCCTTAATTACTTACTTGTTTCACAATTTTATTATTACCAACCACCACAAACCAGGAGTGTCCCAGTTTTTGATTTTGAAAATGTGGCCACTCTATGCATGGTTAAACAACAGTGAGGCCTGTAAAAAGAGTTCATCCTCGGAGCAAATGACTAATTATACAAAGTAAACAAAGTCCGAGTTAGCGCCAGGCTGCACTCTGTACTCTCCATAACGTCGCTTTGGTTATTTTACTACGTTCATTGTCCACACCAAAGGCTAAATGGAGCTATCAAAGAGGTAACACAAATATATTTTAAGTTTTAAGTGTTTACAGAGTCTGTATTTAACCTGCTCTGGGCGATAACGCTAGTATTAGCCGCAGACTAAACAGCGGCTGCTCCGATCTACGGGTCCTCATTCGGGACAATACAGAATGGCATCGGATGTTTTTTTTATTTTATATATTATATTATATATATATATATTATATTATTTTTTTTTTTTTTGGGTGTATGTGTACTTTAATAGATCCATGGTGAGTACCCGCCGATATTTATACCTGAAAAATGTGCAGTATCAGAATTTTTGTGGATACCAGTATCAGTATCGAAACAACCCTATTTGGAAGCATGGCAAGGCTAACATGCTAGTTTGTTCAAAGTGTTATTTTCAGTGTCTCATTAAATTACCATTTTATTGAAGATTGTTGAATATTGAAATGTATAGTGTTAGCTTCTAAATTAGGGTGACCAGAAAAATAAAAATATAAACTGGGACATCCCCGTTTTTTTGGTGATTGGTAATAATAAAATAGTGAAACCAGTGCGTAATTAAGGAGATTTGTTATTCAGAGACTATTCGTCCTATAGTCACATTTTCTTTGCTTTTTGGTCAATTTTAAGCAACTTTTTTGTATTTTGCCAAAACAAATGACAATGCATGCCTCTTTTTACTGCTGGCATGTCTCAAACTGATCAAAAATAGACTCACCTGGGACGCTTCTTATATAAAACTGGATCAAATCAATAGTTTTGGATAAATCAGGCTACCCCTACTATACCAGTATCGGTATCAATATCGGAACAACCCTATTTACAAGCATGGCAAGGCTAATACTAGCTTGTTCAAAGTGTAAATTAGCCTATATTATTTTGGCGTTTCATTAAATTAGCATATTATTAAAGATTATTGAACATTGCAGCATATTGTGTCAGCTTCTAAATGTAACCATGTGACTGTTTTGCCAGTTTTTGCATTAGCACATCAGCTAACTTAGCTTGTGGTCAATTTCTAAGCAAAAGACTGAGACTAGTTTGTCAAAAATGTGTAGCAATTTGCTTGGTTATACTCTGTAAAAAAGCCAATGATACCAGTGTGGTATTAAATAAGCTATGGAAATTGTAATGTAGTAGTATAACTTTGTGATGTTATTCTAAGGTAATGTTATGCTATTCTAAGTAAAGTCTAGCAGGTATAAATCAGCCTAATAAACAGCTAAAAGAATGTACCTAACCAGACATTGACTTTGGCCTCCATTGTATTTCTTTCAGGTGGAGTTTTCCCAGAGGACTTCTCCATCATGTTCACCATAAAGCCCAAAGCAGGTCTCCAGTCCTTCCTCCTGTCCGTGTACAACCAGCAGGGTCTCCAGCAGCTGGGGGTGGAGGTGGGTCGAGCCCCTGTGTTTCTGTATGAGGACCAACATGGAAAACCTGCCCCCGAGGAGTACCCGCTGTTCCGCTCCATCAACCTGGCTGACGGCAAGTGAGTGATGCAGTTTACTCATACAGCAATGTAGGATTTATGTCAACCTTAGATGGGTAACAAGTCAAGTTAGTGCTCTATAGACGGTAAATGTTTGTTTTAGCATGTTTTTGTATGACTACATAGGGTTGGTTGATTCATTATAGCATGATCCCTCAAAATAATGGCTAGGGATATACATTTTTTAATATTCAGGTGAGTGCTAAAGTTATTCTATATTCTAACATTTTGCCTGGAACCCAGAATACACACTTCTTCAATACTTTATGAAGTTGTGAGTTTAGTCACTGGTGAATCTCCCTGTTTTCAAATGGCCGTGATTGACATGTGGATTAGGCAATGAGGGACATTCATGGTTTGTTCGTATCAAAACAAATATGTCTGCTTATGAGGGAAAAAGAAAGCAAAAAATATCACAAGGGACTGAAAAACATCACGGATTTATGTAGAATCAAGGAGCAAAGCACTAAACTGGAGGTGGTAAATGTAAATGGTGGTGACCAATGAGTTCTTTCCTTTCACATGTGGAAACAAATCTATTGTACTATCATGTTTGGACTATCATGTTTAGTTATGGCTCAAGACGCGACAGAGAGGGTTGGGATCAGACTGATATCCCCTGTAAAAATACACAGATATAATTTTGGACTTGCCAGGCAAACAACACTTGCATCCGATTATAAATGTTTTGAATTGTAGGCCCAGTGGCGCCTGCGGGGGTAGGCTTGTATGCACTGTGCGTGCCTTTTTATTTCCCTATTAAATCCATATGCATCTCTAAAACATACAGAATGTGCACCTGTTTCTATTATGAAGTGAATTTACGATGAAGAAAGTGTGCAATAAGGATCTACACATGTTATATTTGAATACATTTCAAACCTTTTGTTTTTAACATAGCACGATAGAGGTTGCTTTCCCTCCAACTCAAGCTTATGTTTAATGCAAGTTCTAATACTACTACTGCTACTTTCAGCAAATTTCTCATCGCTGTCAGTATGTCAGTACTGGTTTAGCCTCTGCGCTGATGATTTATGAGGATAAATTGCTTCACTATTAAATAACATATGGAGCCATTCAGACGGCAACGATACATAAAGTGATGGCAGCAGCAGTAAACACATGACAGTCCATTGTTGTACAAATTATTAATAGCTGTAGACTAAGGACCCTGCAGATCTGGGCATGGTTTTTATAAATCACAGCTGTGAAATAATGTAGCGACAAATGAAGTCAACATAAATACTTAGCACAAATTGAAACCAGGCAAGGAAATGATCCTGTACTTCATACTCTCACTGTAAAGCTCTATATGCACAACATGCATTCATTTTTATGGTAATGATGCGCACTAGATAGACAGATAGATAAGCACACTTAATTCAAACTTTTCTTGGGGCAACAGTGGCTGTGGTAAAGTAGTCGGTCTGTGACCACAAAGCTGATGGTTTGATTCCAGCCGTCCACATCAGTGCATGCTGTTGTGTTTTTGGACAAGACACTTCACCAAGACACCACTGCCCAAGTATGAATGTGGCGTGTTAGTTATTATTTGGTGGTAGTCAAGGAGGCCGATGGCTTTGGCAGCCACATCTCCAGCCTCAGAGCTTTGCAGTTATGAACTTGATATCATTTGACATGTTTTTAGTTTGAGGTGTCTCATCTCTTTTACTCTATCTATGGCTTTAAAATGTATGACAAATTCGCACTGAGGTCATAGCAATGAATATGAAAATGATAAGACCATTACCTCCTATTTATATAATTGGCACATTCTTTACATTCAAATTGCACTGTTTTGTCTGTTGCAGATGGCATCGTGTGGCTATCAGCGTGGAGAGGAAAACTGTGACCATGATTGTGGACTGTAAGAAGAAGGTGACCAGACCTCTGAGCAGAAGTGACCAGGCTGTGATCAACACTGAGGGCATCACTGTTTTTGGAACCAGGATCCTGGACGAAGAGGTCTATGAGGTAAGAGTCCCATGTTGTCTATGTTGTCACCTATTATGCTTCTTAGATTGTCTAATAGACCTGCAAAAAGATAATGTCCAAGAAAAATCTCTTGTGTGATGGATTTGTGTGACTATAATATGGATGATTTTGGGGTTAAATTTGTTGTTTGTTATTAACAGAGTCTGTTAATATAAAGGCTTTATTCAATAATTTCAATAAAATTTCCATTGCCCACCTAAGACGTTATCTTGAGACCCAAATACTGATTGGAGGAATGCTTTTATCAGGTTGTGAACTGAATTAAACAGTTTAATAAAATAGTTTAAATGGGGGGTATTACGCTATTTTTCTGTCATGTTACAATGTTGTTCCCTCATCAAAAAACATGTCTGAAAAGTATATGTAATCTATATATGTTTGAGTAATCTAGCAATCACTCTTGCGGGCCCTGCGAGACCGTTATTACGGTTACTAGTACAATCTTATCCAAAACAGCCCACAAGCCTACAAATTTCTCAAAATATACAAAAGTAGGATACAGAATAATGCACTACAACTTCACAAACCTGTTGTGAAATGCAGTAGTTTTATTAGATACTCTGAAGGGAGAGTGACTTTGCACGGAGAGCACAGGGAGCGAAGACTCGGAGTCTCAAAAAAGAAACTGAAACTTTTCAGACATGTAAATTTGTTGTTTTTGTAAAATAGCATTTTTAAATCAATAAAAGATAACATAGTGATTTAAATATGTTATGTGTGAATTAATACCCCATAGAAATCCAAGACCCAATTATTAACCGAATAGTCTTTAATTTACATTTTATCTGAACGTGCCACAGCTGCAATGTTTAGAAGAAAAAAATCAGGCAGGAGAATAAAGCCTCTCTATTATGCTAATTTCAAACAACAATATGGAAAACTTGTTTAGATGCCAGTGATTTATTTACTGTGGTTTGCTGTAATTGGAAGCACATTATAATATACATTTTCCACAGTTAGAGGCACATTTTACATTGCAAAAAGTCTATACTAATGCACTGTACTTTGAGTTCTTCCAAGGACAAACCCTGTATTATTTTGCCATTGAGTCATTTAAACTGCGAATAGTGGATGTTTATTGGCAGTAATAATATTTAGTTTTTGGAAAAGGCCATAGGCGATGTATGTGAACAATGCATGTATTTGTTTGCCCTTATGTATTAACAGATTTAGTGGGATTTGATTGCTTATGTTTTGTAAAAGTAAATTTACCTTTGGGATTATTGCAGATTATTGGTAGATTGGAGCAAGGAAACTCCACTTCCATGATCCTGGACAGTCTGTGCCGTATTACGTAACGCATTCAAGAGGCTGGTTTTGATTTGCTGATGGAAAAAGTAGCATAAGAAATCCACAATGCAGACTTGAAGCTGCCTGAAAGTTGGGGTATTTGAAATCAGATATTGTTGTTTCGGTTTTGGTTGCAAGTATTCTGGAATTTAAATATGATGCTAAAATGTGCAAAAAGTAGCCCCAGTACTATGCAGTATCAGTCTTGTGTCTTGTGCTCCTTACGAATTGACTTCCATTGATATAAGAGTCAGTAATACCATTTAAACTTAAGTGGTTTTATACATTTTTAAATTAAAGGGTCAATATTGTGCTATATTTTGATCTATGTTATAATGTTGTTTCCTCTTCAAAAACATATGCAGAGTTGTGTTTTGTTTCATTCACACATGTTTAACACACATATCCTGCATATTTAGGATGAGTTCTTCTCTCTAACAGAAAACATGTGGTAAAACAGGAAGTGCTCCACTGTGTTTTTAAACTCCATACACCTTCACTAGAATATTTTGGATAACTTCAGCTCTGGAATCTTATCTGAACTAAAAGTAAAAGTTAGCTGCTATCTTGAAAACTACCGCTTCATAACATCACAAGGTAGAGCATTTTGAGCTTTGGAGATATAAACAGACTAATAATAATAAAGGATTACTCAAGTATGTGCTAATGAGACTCAGCACAACTCTGGGTATATTTGTGTGGAGATAACATTATAAGATGTCTTAAATCTCACAAGAGTCATGTTATTAGGTTCTTTTTTTCAGACCAAGAGTTTGTTTTCATACCTGACAGTTTCGACTGATCACTAGTGGTCTTCCTCAGAGTGGTCACGTGATGTTGCTGTGACGTGTCTGGTCAGTTGATTTAATTTGATTTTGCCGCTGTCCTCCTACCGGTGGAGGCAGGTCGCAGTTCCTCAGGACAGTAGCCCAGGTGTGTGAGAGTAAAAAAGCCCCCTCATCCCGGTTTATAGTCTCATGGGCACATTTCCATATTTTGATTGCCTGACCACTCTGAGGAAGACCACTTGTGAGCAGTCAAATCTGTCAGGTATAAAAACAAACTCATGGTCTGAAAAAAGAACCTAATATCATAAATTATTGGAAGACCTAATGAACCTCACAAGAGTTAATTTTGCACAATAATAGGGCCTTTGTAATTGTGACACGTTGAACAATCTTGAATCACAAGTTACCACAAGTAAGGCAATAATCTGTTTTTGGTAAGATTTCACAATTCAAAAGGTATAATATTTAGTTTTAAATTGTTAATTGCTATTGCATGGTCCTACCTTTTCATCATTCTGAAATCCATGGATTCACTAAACTACAGGCATGTCCAATCAGGCAGCAAATTAGCTTGAAAAAGGCTACCAGTGGAATTGCATGATTTCACTGTGCGGGTTAGTTCATTTGGAAATATATTTGGCAATTAGACTGAAGCACTTGACGACTTTATAATCAGGTTCAAACGATTAGCCCGATTTTCATTTACTGCTGTAACACAGAGCGCTACCACAGTCACTGGGATTTATAACAGTAGTGATTACGGCTATAATTAAGGACATTTGGAACAAAGTAGGAAACATTAAGTGGCATGGATCTTAACCAAATCTTCACTTTCACAGCAGTTTGAGTCTATTTTTATGCACACTTAGTTTTACACAATAGTCTAATCTTGATTGCCTGTAATTACCATGAAATATGCTTTGTTAATTTTTTTAGTCTTGTTCTGACTTTACACAGGGCTTTTGTGCAATTACAGGTCTTACTTTAAAAGTGCAGTTTGTATCTTGTCTCCATGACAATATTATTTGTTTTATCTTTTGGTGTTCCACAGTATAGCATTTTAAACATCTATCTTTCATAATTTAAATTAAAAATGTTCTTACAGTTAATTATTATTATTCATGGCATTAATTAACAGATGTAATATAATTTCTATTCTCACATTAGACAAAATTCAGATGGTATTATATTTTATCCAGATAAGAATATTCATATTTTGTATCTCCTGTAATCTGCTACGAGACAAAGGTCTGATTGGCTGAGCGCTACATCCCTTTTACGTATTAGGGTTGGCAAGATTGGGCCCAAGATTTTGAAAATTGATCTCCACATTTTATTATTTTTTTGCATCTTCTTATAGTTACTTGCACGCGTTTTCTCAGAATCAGAATCAGAATCAGGTTTATTGCCAGCATCAGAGAACAAGATTCACCAACCAGGAATGTGCTTTGGCCATTTTTCTGCTCTATGTTTTCAACAAACAGTGAAACATTTGAGACTATTTTTCTCTTTCTTTGGTTTTAAGCTGTGGGTTCAATGGGAGCACATGATAAGACCCTCTCATGGTCTCTGGTACGCAGCCTGTGACCACATGGATGCCTCGGTGCAGATCGCAGAAGCAGGTGTTGAATCCAGGCAACTCTGAAGTCTGAGGAAAATATGAGCCGCGTGTGCTCAGGACGAACTCACTTTACACAGCTGTTTTAGAGATACGCAAGAAGAATATCACAAAAGTCTGAACTCATTGCTCCTTCTCTGCTGTTTCACTTTTGTATTAAACGTAAAGGTGCACTGTGCAATTTTTCACCTAAAAACTACATCTCATTCATTTGAAGACAGTGAGGTACAGATTTTAAGCAGAGAGTAAAATTGCAAGGGGAGTGAAGGATACTATATTTGTGAAGACACATTATCTGGACTTTGATATAATCTACCAGCTGTTTACAGAAGTATTTTTAACCTGTAACAAAGACCACAACAGGCCTATCATGTGCTAATCAGGTACTTAAAAATGTGCCAGGTGAAACAGACAACACACAATAGGGGCATAATGACCCATAATGGTGTTAGCTGTAAACAAGGACAGAGCACTTTCACTCTATAACTCCACCCTTTGGGGCTGGACTTATTCAGCTCAGGTCCAGATGACTACTGTTGCTGAGACGTGTCAACATCATTTAAAACGTAATAAAAAACATGATGAAAGCGTTTTCATATTTGCCCTGCCCTAGATAAAATGAACATCTTAGAATTTTACTAAAAGAAGCAGTATTTTATTAAATTTGTAAGCATTATTTTATGTTTTATTATTAAATTCCAGACAGTGCAATACCCATAGAAAATGAATGCATTAGGCACTGGTATCAGACTTAAGTATTTAATGTTAAGGTACCCTTTACTTAGCCAGGCTGGCGCCACCTAGTGCCTCCACTCAATTCATTTCTCTCCTGCAACTAGGTCAGGAATCAGAATACACTAGACGGTCTGGAAGAACCCCAGAAGTGCAAGTCCGGGCACCAGCCAATCAGCGAAGAGCCATACATTCTGTGTTGGCAACGATTCCCGAGATCGAGGACTTAAAGCTGGAACAAAGAGAATGTTTTGTGAATTTTATCAAGAGGAAAGACGATATTGCCCTTCTTCCTACGGGATTTGGGAAAAGCTTAATATACCAGTTAGCCACGTTAGCAGCGTATTACATACGTCACGACCCAATAGCAGCGATGGGTTAAATTTTAAAAAGTAGAATCCTAATGCTGCTGAATCCTAAGGTCAGATGGTTTCCACAAAGTGAAACCGGCTGATGAATCAGGCCACCCTTTACTGTCTCTGCATTTGAACAAAGCAAATACTACTGGGGCAGCAGAATCAGGAGCAGGGGGTGCAGTGCTGGGACTTGTG